GGTCGAATTCTAAATATTCTTGCCTCTTCTCTTTCTTGATTATTGACCTGCGGAACATTCCTCATGTATCTAATCATATCTAATTTTTATCAGTAAGAATGTATTTTGATTGGTATAGTTGATGACAATAATTAGGTGTGCATGCAAAACAATGCACAACTCTTGATTTCTTACATACTCATTATTATTAGTAGTAGTATTAGTATTATTATTATTTGATTTCTTCGCCTTGCTCTGTAGCCCTTAAATGATTTAAGCTATTAACACGAAACCAACTTCCAGATGTGCAGAATGCTCCAATTTAGATTGCTTGAGAAAACACTTTTCATAGAATTTATGATTTTTTTTTACCCTAACAATATTTAAATGAGCTCCCAATGCATTTCAATGGGGAATAACGGTCCATTGACTTCAAAAAATTAAAATAATATTCTACACCCATCTCCTCTTTCACCGTTGAAGCTATTAACTCCAAACCAACGTTGAGATGTTCAGACTGACCTAACTTAGATTGTTTGCATTCAGATTTTTTATACTATTTATACTTTTTAAACTATAAGCATTTAACATTTGCATAAATTAACATGGGTTTGAATTACAACCACAGTAATACAGTGGTAGCTATTTAAAATGGTCCTGCTCCTTGAACAATTAACCTGTAAGACAACTGTAAAACATTCAGGCTATCCTAAACTTTAAATTCTTTAAGGTCTTTATCAACTATAACTATATACAGTGCATTCGGAAAGTATTCAGACCACTTCATTTTTTTCACATTTTGTTACGTTACAGCCTTATTCTGAAATTGATTGAATTGTTTTTTTCCCCCTCATCAATCTACCCCAATGACAAAGCAAAAACAGGTTTGTAGAAATCCTTTACTCAGTACTTTGTTGAAGCACCTTTGGCAGTGATTACAGCCTCGAGTCTTCTTGGGTATGATGCTACAAGCTTGGCACACCTGTATTTGGGGAGTTTCTCCCATTCTTCTCTGCAGATCCTCTCAAGCTCTGTCAGGTTGGATGGGGGAGCGTTGCTGCACATTAGGTCTCTCCAGAGATGTTCGATTGGGTTGAAGTCCGGGCTCTGACTGGGCCACTCAAGGACATTCAGAGACTTGTCCCGAAGCCACTCCTGCGTTGTCTTGGCTGTGGGTCGTTGTCCTGTTCGAAGGTGAACCTTCGCCCCAGTCTGAGGTCTTGAGCGCTCTGTACTTTGCTCTGTTCATCTTTCACTCAATCCTGACTAGGAAGAGTCTTGGTGGTTCCAAACTTCTTCCATTTAAGAATTCAAATTCAATACTTTTGAATGCTAAAAGTATCCTATTTAAAATATATACATTTTGTCACTTTAGTGTAGTAATTTTCATCCAAACATCAGTTTCAAATCAGTAGTTTTTCAATTACTCCCACATTTTTAACATTGAAAACAGTGTTACAATGAACCCTGCAGCCTTTTACAATTAACCCAGTCTGATGTCCTGAGCACTCTGGAGCAGGTTTTTATCAAGGATCTCTCTGTACTTTGCTCCGTTCATCTTTCCCTCGATCCTGACTAGTCTCCCAGTTCCTGCAGCTGAAAGACACCACCACAGCATGATGCTGCCACCACCATGCTTCACCGTTGGGATGGTGCCAGGTTTCCTCCAGATGTGACGCTTGGCATTCAGGCCAAAGAGTTCAAAGAGTTGGTTTTATCAGACCAGAGATTCTTGTTTCTCATGATCTGAGAGTACTTTAGGTGCCTTTTGTTAATGCATTTCAATTAACTGGTGTGCCTTGTTAATTTGTGTATTTCTTTCCTTCTTAATGCGTTTGAGCCAATCAGTTGTGTTGTGACAAGGTAGGGGTGGGTATACAGAAGATAGCCCTATTTGGTAAAAGACCAAGTCCATATTATGGCAAGAACAGCTCAAATAAGCAAAGAGAAACGACATAAAGGTCAGTCAATGCGGAACATTTCAAGAACTTTTAAAGTTTATTCAAGTGCAGTCACAAAAACCATCAAGCGCTAAAATGAAACCGGCTCTCATGAGGACCGCCACAGGAATGGAAGACCCAGAGTTACCTCTGCTGCAGAGGATAAGTTGATTAGAGTTCCCATCCTCAGAAATTACAGCCCAAATAAATGCTTCTCAGAGTGAACATCAACTGTTCAGAGGGGACTGTGTGAATCAGGCCTTAATGGTCGAATTGCTGCAAAGAAACCACTACTAAAGGACACCAAGAAGAAGAAGAGACCTGCTTGGGCCAAGAAACATGAGCAATGGACATCTGACCAGTGGAAATGTGTCCTTTGGTCTGGAGTCTAAATTTGAGATTTTTGGTTCCAACTGCCGTGTCTTTGTGTGACGCTATGTGGGTGAACGGATGATCTCCGCATGTGTATTTCCCACTGTAAAGCATGGAGGAGAAGGTGTTATGTTGTGGGGCTGCTTTGCTGGTGACACTGTCTATGATTTATTTAGAATTCATGGCACACTTAACCAGCATGGCTACCACAGCATTCTGCAGTGATAAGACATCCCATCTGGTTTGGGCTTAGTGGGACTATCATTTGTTTTTCAACAGGACAATGACCAAACACACCTCCAGGCTGGGTAAGGGCAATTTTACCAAGAAGGAGAGTGATGGAGTGCTGCATCAGATGACCTGGCCTCCACAATCCCCCGACCTCAACCCAATTGAGATGGTTTGGGATGAATCGGACGGCAGAGTGAAGGAAAAGCAGCCAACAAGTGATCAGCATATGTGGGAACTCCTTCAAGACTGTTGGAAAAGCATTCCAGATGGGAGTGTGCAAAGCTGTCATCAAGGCAAAGGCTATATGAAGAGTCTCAAATATAAAATATATTTTGATTTGTTTAACACTTTTTTGGTTACTACATGATTCCATATTTGTTATTTCATAGTTTTGATGTCTTCACTATTATTCTACAATGTAGAAAATAGTAAAAATAAAGAAAAACCCTGGACTGAGTAGGTGTGTCCAAACGTTTGACTGGTACTGTATATATACAGTGCTATGAAAAAGTATTTGCCCCCTTTCTAATTTTCTCTACTTTTGCATATTTGTGATACTGAATGTTATCAGATCTTCAACCAAAACCTAATATTAGATAAAGGGAACATAAGTGAACAAATAACACAACAATTACATATTTATTTCATAAACAAAGTTATGCAACACCCAATTCCCCTGTGTGAAAAAGTAATTGCCCCCTTACACTCAATAACTGGTTGTGCCACATTTAGCTGCACCACCATGCTTGACCTTTGGTATGATGTTCTTACTGTGGAATGCAGAGTTTGGTTTTTGCCAGGCATTACTGGAACCATGTTGTCCAAAAAGTGATACTTTTGAATTATCTGTCCATAGAACGTTCTTCCAAGAGTCTTGATGATCATCCAGGTGCTTTTTGGCAAACTTGAGTCAACTTTGTGGACGAGATGGGTCCCATTATGCCTGGCGAAAACCAAACACTGCATTCCACAGTAAGAACATCATACCAAAGGTCAAGCATGGTGGTGGTGGTGTGATGGTTTGGGGATGCTTTGCTGCCTCAGGACCTGGACGACTTGCCTTAATAGAAAGAACCATGAATTCTGCTCTGTATCAGAGAATTCTACAGGAGAATGTCAGACCATCCGTCTGTGAGCTGAAGCGGAAGCGCAGCTGGGTCATGCAGCAAGACAATGATCCAAAACACACAATTAAGTCTACATGAAAATTGCTAAAAAGCAACTCATTGGAAGTTTTGGAATGGCCTAGTCAAAGTCCAGACCTAATCCCAATTGAGATGTTGTGGCAGGACTTGAAACGAGCAGTTCATGCTTGAAAACCCACACGTCACTGAGTTAAAGCAGTTCTGCATGGAAGAGTGGGCCAAAATTCCTCCACAGCGACATGAGAGACTGATCAACAACTACAGGAGGCATTTGGTTGGAGTCATTGCAGCTAAATGTGGCACAACCAGTTATTGAGTGAAAGGGGGCAATTACTTTTTCACACAGGGGAATTGGGTGTTGCATAACTTTGTTTATGAAATAAATATGTAATTGTTGTGTTATTTGTTCACTTATGTTCCCTTTATCTATATTAGGTTTCTGATCTGATAACATTCAGTATCACAAATATGCAAAAGTAGAGACAATTAGAAAGGGGGCAAATACTTTTTCATAGCACTGTATATATAATTTAAAATATTTTCCTTCTTTATTATTTTCCCTAACCCTACCACCCCTCCCCTAATTGGAGTAAACTAATGGACAACAATACTTAGACTTCTACTTCCAGCTTATACATACTACATTATATACATTTTACGGACACAGAATATTTTACATTGGTTATCTTTTGTTTGTTTTTAGTCCCATCCTTCAGCTACCCTCAACCCCTCCCATCTCTCTCTGAAGACCATCCAGTTTTGATTTCTAGCTGCCATATATGTTTCACAAAAGTTCTGAACCTTTCTATTCTGATAGTTTCTACAGATTTAAAACTTAGTTACAGTGTGTAATGGTAGCTAAGATATGTATGTTTGTATAAAAAGATTATGAATCTACCTCTAATATTATTTTCATACTAAACAAAAGCCTAAAACTGTTACTTTGTTCCGCGGTCTCTCCTAACCTATATATTAGTTTCACACATAGAAGTCCATCCTCAAGGTGTACTGCAGGTGACAGCTGTGTTGTTGTTTCAAACACGCTCAATAATAGTAGCCCTCATAACATCACCACATATAATCCAATGATTCTTTATCCAACACGTTGCGTCCAGTGTATTGCAGTGCTAATGTAAAGTGAATGGCTGGGGGTGTTGGTGTAATGATGTGAGCAGGCTTGGATGGTTGGGGGGAATTAGACCTCAGGGTGACTGCTCTGCTGTAAGAGCACAGTCTCCAAGCTGTTCTCCACTCCAGTGACAACATACTTATGGGGAAACCCCTTCATCAGGTATCCCGATGCCTTTCCCAGACAGTCCGTGTGTAGCCTCCTTCAGCCCCTCTGTCCACCTATACCAGCTCCAAGCCCTTTAGACCCTATGGCCAGCTCAACGAGGAGCCCCTGGCTCTGGGAGGGCAGGTGAAACAAGGGCAGCCCTTGGAACAGCTCTGGGAGACCCCTTTCACTGCTGAGGGGCTTGGCAGTATGGGACTCAAAATGGACCAGGAGGAAACGCTTTCCAGCGCAGCCTTGTTGGTGGTCCACCTTGATGCAGCTCAGAGCGGCACTGAACACGTCCGCGTATGGGGAGGACAAGCCCTGGAGAAGCCTCTTATCCTCCCCCTCTACTTCCTCGTCCCCCTTCTCCTCCTCCACTCCCTGGGCTATGTCCCTTCCCTGCTGGCCCTGCTGGTCCCACTGTCGGCCCCAGTCCTCTGCCTTCTTCCAGGCTGCCTGCGTCAGTACCAGTAAGGCCCGGCCCCCCTGGCTGTTCAAGGGCTGCAGCTGGGAGTGCAGCCAGGGCAGGGGCCCCAGAGAGCACATCTCAGCCCGATTCCACAGGTCCACAGACACACTGAGGCCCCTGGCACGCAGAGAGGAGCCAAGCTCACACACCAGCTCTGACACAGAGCCATCCACATCCGGCGGGCTCAGCAGCACCACGTGACCCCTTATAGGTACTACAAAGGGAGAGAGGTGAAGGAAGGAAGGAAGGAAGGAAGGAAGGAAGGAGGAAGGGAAGGAAGGAAGAAGGAAGATGAAGGAGGAAGGAAGGAAGGGAAGGAAGTAATTAGTAACTGACTTCCTTTCCTTCCTTCTTCCTCCTCCTTCCTTCCCTTCTTCCTTCCTTCCTTCCTTTTCCTTTCCTTTTTCGTTCTTTCATCCATTTTCCATTGTTTTTGTCCCAATGATTATTGCTAGATAAATATGTATCTTCTTTATTTGACATATTGTACATTTGGACTATGAGAAACCTGCTTACGTTGATCCCACTCCTTCTGGTGCCATTCCCATGCCCACCCTGTTTGGAGAGACAGAAATGTAACATGATACACACTGACATGGTTCTGTAACACAGAGGCCCTTGTGTCCTTTACAGAAACCCTTTGCAAATTGTCCCCCCCCCCCCCCCCCCCCCCCCCCCCCCAAATTCCTAACTGTAGTGAACAACACCCACAAGAAAAAAGTCAGTCGGCGATACACATGAATAGAGCTATTGAGAGAAGTGGGAGCCTGAAGAATACACACAGTAGGAAAGATATCAGATTTATTCTCTTTCTCTACATTTTCATCTCCTTTAAAACTCCCCCTTTCTCCACTATAAAAAATAATTTGGTGGGAGGCAGAGAGCATATTTGTGGTGAGAAAAGCCTTGCACTCAATTCACCACAGTGTAGCGCAATAACACAAACCTAACACAAATGTAACACTTTGTGACTTTTCTGTCTCTACACACAGTGCCATTGCCTGTGTCTGGTTGGGGGAGATCGGACCAGAATGACTCACGTTTCAGTTTGCAATGCAGGAAATAGAGACATATTACTGCTAGGCCTGCCAGCATCAGGGAGACCAGGATAAGCAGACTCCAGCGCCAGTGCCACCTACTGGCTGAGAGGGAGAAGTACAGATGTGAATTATTTCCCAATCCTCATAGAATTTCTTATTATCAGTCCCTACTGGTAGGCAAAATAGAACGGTCAACTTTTTTTGTGAACATTTGTTTTATTAAGCATACAGATAAATACTCGATTGATGATACAGATTTAAACATAATTGCCATCTTTTCACACACATAAAATCAGAGAAGTGGTCAAGAAATGGTACATGTATCAGTTTTAGTAGGGTCCATATCAACTTTGATACTTCAGCCCTCTCCTAAAATACTCACAGTCAATGGGACAGAAGGGGCCAAGCTCACTGTTCTTCCCTTTTACCTTCACCTGCAAGGACAGAGACACACACACACACACGTGCACACATGCACACACACACACACATTTACAATAAGATGAGCTCCCATCATGTTACAACAGGATCCAAGTTCAATACTGGGGAACAAGAGGAGTCAACCAGTAGAAGTGTCTTACCATCACACAGAGATCAAGACCAGGTTTGACATCCTCAAACACACCTGGCATCAGCTGAAACAGGAAAAAAAAATCATAAAAGAATCAAGCATTCAATCAAAAAGAATATGCCTTATCCCATAATATCACCAAACCATAAAAATGCCACAAGTAAAAACACAAAAACCAATTAATACAAATGATGAGTACATCCCAACGACAAAAAGGTAACTAAAGATACACCAATACAACATTTGAGGCACCAATCAAATGCTCCGGTATACGTACCCAGTGTCCCCTGTCATTTTCCCTCCATATGTCATTTGACAGACGCTGCCTAATATCCCCCAGCTCTGTGCATCTGTCCTTGTCCACGCCTGCATCTCTCTGGCAGGGCCACACTTCAGCCTCCAGCCTACAGGGGGCAGTTAGGTTCCAGGACAGCATTGCACCGCCACTGTTCATCTGGCGCTGCACCACAGATACTGACACATTCTCCCATACGTTCCTCTGGAACATCTCTGGAAGAGAGAGATAAAGGTATAAGATACTTTATAGCAGAGTTACAGAAGCAATGGGAATCAACTCCATGGCTCACATTCATGACTGTCATAGTGAAACACAGGTGTAACAAGGAGGATGCTGCATGGTTCTTCTCTTACCGGTGTTGTTCCTAAAAGGACAGCTCATAGATCGACGAGATCTCTCATCTCCTTTATCCCCACCACAACTGAAACACACACACACACACACCGAAGACACACAAAACCAGAGAACTTGGATGATTACTACCACAAAGGGGATAATGTTGTCAGTTACAATGAGTTGGATGTGTGAGTGTGTAGTAATATCACAACTGACAAAAGTAGGCCCAATCCAGATTGTTAATGGGGGAAATAGCAACAGTACCTGGAAGCACATGCAGGGGGTGACAGAGTGCAGTGGAACTGGCTTCTCTTTCCAGGCCTGTAGGACAACAAACAACGTGTTATCATGGACGAGTGAAGAGTGAAACTCTGAGAAAAAGATTGCATATAAATAACTGAGTTTGGAGGAAGCCAAGTACGGCACGGACCCTGCAGACTCCATTATCTTCATGTTGTAGGCAAATTTCTAGTGGGTGGGGGCTGTCCTCTTCCTTGGCGACTTGCAGCATCACCTCACGTCTCTCCTGATCAATCAGAGTGCTGAAACTGGGGACTGACAGACACACTGGCAAATTAGAAAGAAACATAACTCAGCCATTTACTGTAATTCTAGAATTGCATATGTCTAACAATGTCTCTCACTTCATAAACCATAATCATTATGGAAAAACAGAACAAATGGTCATGAATACAATATTTCTCGGTTTGGACTTTGGATAGTCCCCTACAGATGGTTAATATAGGCTCATCTGACTAGCAACAAATGTTCAACTATCTTTTAGCCCTAACATTAGTCTTAACCCTAACCCTGACCCTAACTCTAACCCTAGCCTAAACCCTAACCCTAACCCTTTGCCTAGCCTTAACCCTACCCCTAGGAAAGCTGTTGCATTTCAACAGGGATGCAATTGATAGTGTGTTGATCGTCTGAGCATCTATAGACCATCTATTGGGGACATTCCATTAAAGTAAGACCAATATGTCTGCACACAGGACTCAGGAGGTGTAAGAATCATATACTTTGAATGATTAGAATGGGGATAAAACCAGATTGAATGCTATACGTCCTGCTTTTACTTCCTGCTATGGGTACACTCCTGAATAGGTACAACCATTCTAGTAATTATTTTTCTATGGCAATAACAACATGGAAACCATAGAAACAAACAAACATAGAACACGTAACTCACCTTCACATTCCTCTACAACTCCCTGTGAGGCGGATGAACACACTAAGGACAGATAGATTTTAATCAGTCAGAGGATGACTTACTAACAAATAGGTGCTGACATAAGCTGTCTGATCACTATGGGAATTCCTACACCATACCTTCATCCACTGACGGAAGCACCACAGTAGAGTGAAAGATGCAACCATACACAGTCACCTGACTGCTGAAGGACACTGCTTCAGACTCAATCAGCAGTGACAGCCATGCCTGCTGGGTATATAGGAGAGCATGGACATGAATCACAAAACCCAAGCACACACACACACACACTCACGCACACACATGCAAATTCATATGGAATATACCTTGGATGAAGCTTGCTCATCCAGAGCAGCAGGGATCACTGTGAACTCGAGCTTTTTGCACTGAGGCATTATTAGCTCTGGCACAATGTAACACACACTCACATACGATGCTGAAACACAGAAAGAACCCAGTTGGCCGCAGGAGTGAGGATGGCATGACTTACTGACACAAGATGAGGGGATAAGCAATAAACCATGCATTTGAAGCTAATATGGGTGCACTTTCCACATTGTGTTTCACATTGTATCCGCAGAGGTTGAAATGGAAAAAAGGTTGTGTAGTGTTCACACACCTGTCTGGTGGTTTCTGGGCTGGATGTCAAGGCGAATGTGTAGGCAAGGTCTGCATGCTGTTCCCTGTCTGCAGCACAGCACAGGCTGCACCGCCAGACCTTTTTCATCCACAGGACACCCTTGGATCAGAATCCCAGGACCTGCCTTCACTGTGCAGTTAGAGAGACCCTGATAAGAAACAAGGTAAACAATGTCTACAGTTGTATGTAAGTACTATACTGTGTTTATCCATACAGACACATTGATGACCACCTACCGAAAAGTATTATACTGTAGTGTAGTCATCCATACAAAAAAGATCAATACACAACTACCGGTAAGTACTACATATGTAGGATCTTAATTTGATCACTCTTTTGTTGCTGAGAATGTTCCTGCACAGCAGGAAATGCAAACTTGTAGTGTATTTGAATTTTTTAAAGGTTTCTAAAGTTTGTAATTTCCACTTTCAAATTCAGACTTGATTTGCCCTAACGATTAATGTATCAACCCCTACAAAATTGTCCATTATTTAAACATTGCCTGTTGTTGCAAGATTATTTTCCTACTGTAGCAAACTGGCTGAAATTAAGCTCCAACACCTGTATACTGTATTCATCCATACATACAGAGTGACTACACAAATGTCGGTAAGTACTATACTGTATTCATAAGATAGAACTGCCAAAGGGGGTGGAGTTGCAATCTACTGTAGAGATAGCCTGCAGAGCTCTATCATACTATCCAGGTCTGTGCCCAAACAGTTTGAGCTTCTACTTCTAAAAATCCACCTTTCCAGAAATAGGTCTCTCACTGTTGCCGCTTGCTACAGACCCCCCTCATCCCCCAGCTGTGCCCTGGACACCATATGTGAATTGATTGCCCCCCATCTATCCTCAGAGTTCGTACTAATTGGTGACCTAAATTGGGATATGCTTAACACCCCGGCCATCCTACAATCTAAACTAGATGCCCTCAATCTCACACAAATTATCAACGAACCTACCAGGTACAACCCTAAATCCGTAAACATGGGTACCCTCATAGATATCATCCTGACTAACTTACCCTCTAAATACACCTCCGCTGTCTTCAACCAGGATCTCAGCGATCACTGCCTTATTGCCTGCGTCCGTAACGGGTCCGCGGTCAAACAACCACCACTCATCACTGTCAAACGCTCCCTAAAACACTTTAGCGAGCAGGCCTTCCTAATTGACCTGGCCCAGGTATCCTGGATGGATATAGATCTAATTCCGTCAGTAGAGGATGCCTGGTTGTTCTTTAAAAGTAATTTCCTCTCAATCTTAAATAAACATGCCCCCATTCAAAAAATACAGAACTAAGAAAAGATATAGCCCCATGGTTCTCCTCAGACTTGACTGCCCTTGACCAGCACAAAAACACCCTGTGGCGTACTGCATTAGCATCAAATAGCCCCCGCGATATGCAACTTTTCAGGGAAGTTAGGAACCAATATACACAAGCAGTTAGGAAAGCAAAGGCTAACTATTTCAAACAGAAATTTGCATCCTGTAGCACTAACTCCAAAAAGTTTTGGGACACTGTAAAGTCCATGGAGAATAAGAGCACTTCCTCCCAGCTGCCCACTGCACTGAGGCTAGGAAACACTATCACCACCGATAAATCTACAATAATCGAGAATTTCAACAAGCATTTTGCTACGGCTAGCCATGCTTTCCACCTGGCTACCACTACCCCGGCCACCAGCTCTGCACCCTCCGCTGCAACTTGCCCATGCCCCCCCCGCTTCTCCTTCACACAAATCCAGACAGCTGATGTTCTGAAAGAGCTGCAAAATCTGGACCCCTACAAATCATCTGGGCTAGACAATCTGGACCCTTTCTTTCTAAAACTAGCCGCCGAAATTGTCGCAACCCCTATTACTAGCCTGTTCAACCTCTCTTTCGTAACGTCTGAGATCCCCAGAGATTGGAAAGCTGCTGCGGTCATCCCCCTTTTCAAAGGGGGTGACACTCTAGATCCAAACTGTTACAGACCTATATCCATCCTGCCCTGCCTTTCGAAAGTTTTTGAAAGCCAAGTTAACAAACAGATCACCGACCATTTCGAATCCCACCGTACCTTCTCCGCTATGCAATCTGGTTTCCGAGCTGGTCATGGGTGCACCTCAGCCACGCTCAAGGTCCTAAACGATATTATAACCGTGATCAATAATAGACAGTACTGTGCAGCCGTCTTCATCGACCTGGCCAAGGCTTTCGACTCTGTCAACCACCGCATTCTTATTGGCAGACTAAATAGCCTTGGTTTCTCAAATGACTGCCTCGCCTGGTTCACCAACTACTTCTCAGATAGAGTTCAATGTGTCAAATCGGAGGGCCTGTTGTCTGGACCTATGGCAGTCTCTATGGGGGTGCCACAGGGTTCAATTCTTGGGCCGACTCTTTTCTCTGTGTATATCAATGATGTCGCTCTTGCTGCTGGTGACTCTCAGATCCACCTCTACGCAGACGACACCATTTTGTATGCATCTGGCCCTTCATTGGACACTGTGTTAACAAACCTCCAAACGAGCTTCAATGCCATACAACACTCCTTCAGTAGCCTCCAACTGCTCTTAAACACTAGTAAAACTAAATGCATGCTCTTCAATCGAACGCTGCTGGCACCCGCCCACCCGACTAGAATCACTACTCTCGACGGGTCTGACCTAGAGTATGTGGACAACTACAAATACCTAGGTGTCTGGTTAGACTGTAAACTCTCCTTCCAGACTCACATTAAGTATCTCCAATCCAAAGTTAAATCTAGAATCGGTTTCCTATTTCGCAACAAAGCCTCCTTCACTCATGCTGCCAAACATGCCCTCGTAAAACTGACTCTCCTACCGATCCTTGACTTCAGCGATGTCATTTACAAAATAGCCTCCAACACTCTACTCAGCAAATTGGATGTAGTCTATCACAGTGCCATCCGTTTTGTCTCCAAAGCCCCATATACTACCCACCACTGTGACCTGTACGCCAAACCCACTGGCTCCAGGCCATCTATAAATCACTGCTAGGCAAATCCCCGCCTTATCTTAGCTCATTGGTCACCATAGTAACACCCACCCGTAGTATGCGCTCCAGCAGGTATATCTCACTGGTCATCCCCAAAGCCAACACCTCCTTTGGCCGCCATTCTTTCCAGTTCTCTGCTGCCAATGACTGGAACAAATTGCAAAAATCTCTGAAGCTGGAGACACTTATCTCCCTCACTAACTTTAAGCATCAGTTGTCAGAGCACCTTACCGATCACTGCACCTGTACACAGCCCATCTGAAATTAGCCCGCCCAACTACCTCATCCCTGTATTGATATTTATTTTGCTAATTTGCACCCCAGTATCTCTATTTGCACATCTATCATTCCAGTGTTAATACTAATTGTAATTATTTTGCACTATAGCCTATTTATTGCCTTACCTCCATAACTTGCTACATTTGCACACACTGTATATATATTTTCTGTTGTATTTTTGACTTTATGTTTTGTTTTACCCCATATGTAACTCTGTGTTGTTGTTTTTATCGCACTGCTTTGCTTTATCTTGGCCAAGTCACAGTTGTAAATGAGAACTTGTTCTCAACTGGCTTACCTGGTTAAATAAAGGTGAAATAAAAATAAAAAATAAATACTGTTTGTTGTCATAAGCTATTACATGAAGAAAGGTTTTTCTTGATTTTTTAAACTATTTTTCTACATTGTAGAATAATAGTGAAGACATCAAAACTATTAAATAACACATATGGAATCATGTAGTAACCAAAAAATTGTTAAACACATCAAAATATATTTTATATTTGAGATTCTTCAAATACAGCTTTGCACACCCTTGCCATTATCTCAACCAGCATCATGAGGTAGTCACCTGGAATGCATTTCAATTAACAGGTGTCCATTCTTAAAAGTTAATTAGTGGAATTTCTTTCCTTCTTATTGCATTTGAGCCAATTAGTTGTGTTGTGACAAGGTAGGCGGGGCGGTATACAGAAGATAGCCCTATTTGATAAAAGACCAAGTCCATATTATGGCAAGAACAGCTCAAATAAGCAAAGAGAAACAACAGTCCATCATTACTTTAAGACTTGAAGGTCAGTCAATATGGAACATTTCAAGAACTTTGAAAGTTTCTTCAAGTGCAGTCGCAAAAACCATCAAGTGCTATGATGAAACTGGCTCTCATGAGGACCGCCACAGAAATGGAAGACCCAGAGTTACCTCTGCTGCAGAGGAAAAGTTCATTAGAGTTACCAGCCTCAGAAATTGCAGCCCAAATAAATGCTTCAAGAGTTCAAGTAACAGACACATCTCAACCTCAACTGTTCAGAGGAGACAATGTGAATCAGGCCTTCATTTTATTTTTTTATTTTTTTATTTCACCTTTATTTAACCAGGTAAACCAGTTGAGAACAAGTTCTCATTTACAACTGCGACCTGGCCAAGATAAAGCAAAGCAGTGCGATAAAAACAACAACACAGAGTTACATATGGGGTAAAACAAAACAAAGTAAAAAAATAAATAAAAAATACAACAGAAATACATATATATACAGTGTGTGCAAATTTAGCAAGTTATGGAGGTAAGGCAATAAAATAGGCTATAGTGCAAAATAATTACAATTAGTATTAACACTGGAATGATAGATGTGCAAGAGATGATGTGCAAATAGAGATACTGGGGTACAAATGAGCAAAATAAATAACAATATAGGGATGAGGTAGTTGGGCGGGCTAATTTCAGATGGGCTGTGTACAGGTGCAGTGATCGGTAAGGTGCTCTGACAACTGATGCCTAAAGTTAGTGAGGGAGATAAGTGTCATGGTCGAATTGCTGCAAAGAAACCACTACTAAAGGAAACCAATAATAAGAAGAGACTTGCTTGGGCCAAGAAACATGCGCAATGGACATTAGACTCGAGATATTTGGTTCCAACCGCCGTGTCTTTGTGAGACGCGGTGTGTGGGTGAACGGATGATCTCTGCATGTGTATTTCCCACCATAAAGCATGGAGGAGGAGGTGTGATGGTGTGGGGGTGCTTTGCTGGTGACACTCTCTGTGATTTATTTAGAATTCAAGGCACACTTAACCAGCATGGCTACCACAGTATTCTGCAGCAATACTCCATCCCATCTTGTTTGGGTTTAGTGGGATTATCATT